TGCATGATTAAAGTCTTTATCACTTATATGTTCCATTTTCAAATTATTAAAAAAAAATTCTTTTGAAGGAAGTTTAGTTTCTTCGTATCTATTCCAAGAATCCATGTAATCGTACGGATAAATACCTTTTGATTTTAATAAATGCAAATGCTTGCTTTTAAATTGCATGGATAAATTGGTGAAATCTTCATCTGATAAATTGTTACTCAACATGTCTAAACTTGTGCTCAAAAACTGAAATGAATCTATAAATTTTATTTGTAATGGACGTGTAAATTCTTTTAAATGTATGGTCTTTGTAATTGTGAGGTACTTTTCTTTAGTTTTCGGTATAATTGTAATTGGACCATAGTATTTTGCTAATTCGCTAATAAACAAATGTGAGTCATAGTTAGCTAAATTATGAAAGACTACTGGTATGAATGGACACACTCTGAACATCAAATTACATTGTGAATGAGCTGGCCCTCTATATTCAGAAGTAATATGATCGTGGTCACGAACCTTGTCATCGAATAATAAATGGCTACAAATATGACACGATGTAGCGTTTTGATAACTATTTTCTTGTTCTTTCGTCAAAGGCGTCATTGGATTCTTATCACATAATATTTTATAAAGGCATTTCACATCTGCAATCAATCTGTTAACAAACACTTCTACACAATCCGAACCCCTGTAGGTAACGAACTTGTTTAAACTCGAGTCATATGAACAACAAATATAATACGCAAAACATGAAGGTTGATGAACTTTTAAATTACGTGTATTTTCGCTACCATTCTCTGTACAGTTAACTAATAGACTTTCGAAATCAGCATATATAACAAAATAAATTTTTTGCTGTCTCTCAAAATGTTTAAATCCGATTGTACTATTTTTTTTAGGTAAGACTGTCAACACTTGAGAGCAATCATGGTTTGTATATTTAATTTCAGAAGAAAAAAAACGTAAACAATTCTCACACATATATAGATTCCCTTTAAATTTACTAATCTGACGTTTTACTAATCGTACAAGATCTTTAATAAGGCAGTAATGACCTTTGACTCCTTTTTCAAAGTATAATAAATTTACATGATTGTTCTTTCGATTTTTAGATAAATATAATGGACCAGTTACTAAACTGCTTGAACTTAATCCATAAATGTTGATACTGATGTTATTATTAGCTTCAAACAATTGTATATCTTTACACGACGGAGGGAAAGTCATACCGTCTGTTTTAAAGACAGTTGAATGGTGAGGATATGAACTTGTTTTGCATACATTACTTTTGGCGGGAAATAATGCAGCTACTATACTCCATAGAAAACAGTACTCATCTTTATTCTGTATATTTATGCAACTTTTACTATTCTTGAGAAATGATGGCAGCTCTATGAACGTACCACCTCTCATAGGACAATATTTGTTTATATTCAATTCTAAATGACTTATTGAAACCAGAGACCAACCAGATTCACAGTGTTCAAATTCTGAAAGTTTTTGTTTAAATGTTTCTATAGCATTCATATACAACTCATTAATATTAGTGTTGTTAAAAACGCAATCAAACTTTGTATTAAAAGATTTTAACTGTTGCGTACTTGACCGTGGTAACTCAAAATAAGCAAACAGTTCAAAATTTAACTTCAGACATGTGTGTTTCAGTATTGATAAATGGATAACATTCGAAACATCATTTTTATAACTGTACAGGAACGCCTCGGGTGTGAGGTACTCGACTTCCTGTGCAGGATTTATGCGGTAAGTCACAATTCTGTTCTTAAATGCAGTCTTAATAATGTCAATATTTTTGAATTCAGTTTTTAATAAACAATTCTCTTTGTGTACATTCGTTCTCATATGATAATGATATTTCTTTTGAGGAATTTCGATGTTGCACATGTCACACTTGACCGCATTGGCTACACAGGATGTCGCTGTAAAGTAAAAAGATTACAAATTAAGAATAAAATAATATATTTATTTACTTATTCATATATATTTATAGTTAAACACATTTAATTACTACAATACAGGCCAGTAAAAAATAATGCTAATAGTAAGTACTATTAAATGAGGGTGGGCAATTTTTGAATTCTTTGCGAGTTGTCTTTATGTAATCTGTTAGATGTGCCCAAGCTTCAGAGTTGACGTTCGTTCTGTTTTTTATAGTAATAATACTATGACGCCATCTATTTATCGGTGCAACGTTTTTGATCTCGTTGCATGAATAAACTTTTAACTCAACGTAATGAGTGCCAGTTTTATTGTCGTCTGTTTGACGACTTATCCCATTTGCTAGCTTTCGCGTAACGTAAGAGTAAATTGGCGTACCCTTTGTTGAACCTGTCGAGCACCCTTCTTCTTCATCACTCTCGCTGCCGAAAAGCTCAGCCGTCGCCGCCTTCATGACGGGGGTGATTGGGTTGATGACGGTTTTCCTTTTCTTAGGCGCAGTGGTAGTGAACGGCTCACCTGTCTTCTTACTTGTCGAAGGGTCACATCTCGAATGCTTCTTCGAGGATTTCGAGAGCTTAGGCTGCACCGTCTCGCACTCGTCTTCTGACAGGAATAAATCTTGTGCCAAAGACCTAATAGAATAAAATATATGAGTAGTACATAGTAAAATGATTGAATAAAAACATAAATTGTTTGGTAATAATATCTTGCGACAGTGAACTCACAAAAACTGATCGAATGATTAGTAAAACTAGGACAACGATAAAATAAGCACAGGTAAAATATTAAACATTTTGGAATCGAGTATGCGCATTTGTACTTGTCACTAATTTTGCTCCCCAGCAGGATTCGAACCCGCGACTCTTCATCACAGTAAATAGATTCGGATTTGGACTAAAAAATAAATAGTCCGAAAAAAAATAATGGAATAAAATAGATAATTAATTATAATTGATGAATAGTTCGAATAGATGGCACGGTTATGTAGCATAAATTTATTTTAGTACTTAAAATGCACTTACATTGTTCTTAGTTATTTGCAGTGGTTGATTTGTTTTTTTGAGCTGTCCTGTTGTCTTGTAGGAAGGTGATCTGAGCAATAATCATGGATAGAGAGGACCGGTCTATATAGGCCTTCATACGCGTCACGTTTACCCATATTTGTAATTTGTATATGAAGCAAAATAGGAAAATGCACAGTCAACATAAATGCAAAAACAAATACTCAGTATGATATGCAGCAATCATCGGTAAGTTAATTCTAATATCGATTCTAATTCTAAGTGGATAAGGTAGCATAAAAATAAAATGTGAAATATTGATTGGATATTTTGCATTTGTAAATGTTTTTCTTTGCTTAATAAATCGATTGTATAATTTCAACCTTCTTCTTTATGCAATAAGAACTATAATTTTGTCCTACTAAATAAATGATAGAATTGAGTGTGCGATGTATCATTTTGTATTATCATTAATCTTAATAACATAATTTTATTGAAAATATACCTGCTTACAGAATTTTTCATACAACAATTCACTTAATACTACGAATACAAAAGTTACAAAATTAAACCCCGGCAACGAAACATTGGTATCAAAACTACTAGTCATATCATATCATCAACACTGTTACACGTCCCACTGCTGGGCATGGGTGTTCATCATAAAAATCTTTATAAATATTGTACTACATCACACTTGCTGCATCATGTTCTATATGATATATTTGAAGAGATCTTTTAAAGGTATGTTGAAACGAAAGGTTCTTATTTTTTAGACTATATAAGTATATGATGTAGATACCTAAATAATCGGCATAATTGAGTTCAATGTAACGATACCTCATAACTTGGAATCGTTTTAGCAGTTTTGGCTCAGTGATAGAACAGATGAATACATACACACTTAGATACATACACTTAGGTATGCTGCTGAAATCATAACCCTCCTGTTCGCTCCGCTGTAGTCGAGTAATCATAAATGGAAGTAAACACAAACGGAGTCATTTTTACTCTCGGCGTCGAGCACTCCATATTAGATTTATTGATGAGTATTGAATAAAAAATACAGTAAGTACGATGTTAATTTTGAACCCTATTAGCACTGCCTTCACTCAATATAAACGGGTAAATTGGGAGTAAAATAATCATTATTAAAAAACTTATTTTCTTGTGAAGTTGTCATAAAATGTCGGTAAGTTAACCAAAATTTATTTTTAATTTTCTTTAGATTAAATTTGTTGAGAAACCTGTACAGGTTTTATATACTGTAAATATAATAAATAAATAAATAATTTTAATATTAACAATGAATTGAGGATGTGTAATTAATACTTACTTTCAACTTGTTTTAAGGATTCCGGAGATCAATTATTCAACTTCGTGCCCAGCGCTGCATCACAAAGAGATTTATCTCCAAATGGAACGCGGCTCGGATTGGGACGCAAAAGAAAATCCGAAAAGACTACATGTTATACATATATAAAAAAGCGACTTCGGAGTGGTGCGAGCAAGGTTATTAAAATAGAGATCTATGATACTGATCAAATACAGAATAGTGACCAAATGTGTAAATGTGAAGCAGATTTGTGTGTGCAATACGCGGTGAGAAACATTTTATTGGATGACATTTACCACTCAACAAAAGATATTATAGATAAAATTATGTCGCCTCTAACAACAGACTCTAGTAATGGTTACACAATGTTGTAAAAATGTAGATACGTTTTATTAATAAATTATATTTGAAACATTCATTGTTTTTATCAATACCCGTTATTCCTTACCTTCCTTTTTTTTCGACGTAGTCGGGTAGAAAATTGAATAAGGAATAGAATATATAACAAAGCGTTAAGCTTACATTGCGAATTGCATCAGGTACTTAATCATGAATGATCGAGACACGCGCGCATTTGCTATCGTCTCTGCATAGCGGTGTCATTTGATAAGTATAAATATTATAAAATACCAGACCATATGCATTCAATTGGAAGCGTTGTGACATTGTAATACTTTGTTCTTAAAATAAACAGTGAATTGGTAATGTTCTTGAATACATAGAAATAGTCTACTATAGACGAAATTTGTCAAATAAAAAAGTTTTTCAGACGACTTCTTGAAATAGATGTCTTCTTGAATAGATGACTTCTTGAATAGATGTAATGACTTCTTGAATAGATGTCTTCTTGAATAGATGACTTCTTGAATAGATGTAATGACTTCTTGAATAGATATTATTAGGG